ATTGTTTTAAATTTTTGCTATTGTAATAAAAAGTCTCGTGCAGTTGTTGCAGTTGTAGAATCTATGTCTTTGCTTTAACCTAAGAAAGGAAGAGCTTCAACTAAATGTTTGAAACAATAATTACTATAATCAGAACTTTCGACTTTTGTTTTAGTGATTGGATTTTAATGTTCCATTTTGTTGAACCTCTTTTTGAAGACGACGGAGTTGATTGCCTGATTGACTACTACTCAAATATTTTTCCAAACTTGCATTATTTTGTTTGAATTAGAAACAAAATTTGCTGTTAATTGAACAAACTAAACAAATTTTGAGGTTGAATGCAAGAGTTTGTAATTTCACTAACCACTAAATTCAAACACATGTGCATGACAACGGGTGAAAAATAACGTTGGAGATTTCAGTTTTGATAAGTGGCTGAAGTCCTTTATATTTTCCAGGCATTTTTGCTGCGCCGTGAAAAGACTCTCTTATGATGTTCTTGAAATCCAAACCAAGTCGCGTTAACTTATTTTTTATGGTTTAATTCCATTAATTCCAGGGCCGTCCAAGAGGAGGGTGAGCGTACAGGAGTGTCTAGCCCCCCCTGCCCCTACGAATTTTATTAGTCGGCAAATTGGACACTAGAGTCGGCAAAATTGGATTTATATTTGGCAGTCGGCAAATGTCGGAAAACAAGAACCTTTTTTTTTTTTACAGGTAAGTTAGTGGACAAAATAACTTTTTTTTGGCTTTTGTCGGCAAAAAACAGACACGGTACCCCCGCACCCCCCTTCCTTTATAATCTCATTGGGACGGCCCTGCCTGATACTGTGCTTTACCCGTAGAGGAGCTCAATGAAATTAAGCATAAAATTCTTGAACACAACCATCAACAATATATTGGGCACAAACATCTTCCGTGGAATTCACTCCTGATAACTGTTGTTTTTGAAAGCATTGTCACCAAATTCCCTCATCCACGACTGTGACCATACTTCTGCTTTTTTGTTTTCCTTTTTGTATTTTTGCTTGCTTTAAACATGTCTGTTTACAATGCTGCAAATGATTGAAAATAACTAGATCATATTTAGTAACAAGCTTAACTATATTCAAAAATTTTTTCTGGAACAGACCAGCCTAATTTAAATAGTTTGTAGCCTCGTTTAAATGTCCTCGAAATGCCAAAGTTTGTTTACGGTTCAAATAAACAATATCAATAATTTTTTTTTTAAATTTGTCGGTTTCTTGTTATATGTTTTTGCCACCGATCATCAAGTAATGTTTTTATGTCTCTAGCAACGGAACAACAAAATAACGCTTGAAGTGAACTTGCATAATTCAATAAAGCTTCATGTTTGGTAAGTCTGTTGTATTGAGTCTTAATGCTGATATTAAAACCAAGAACAATAAAAAAAAAAAAAAAAATCTAGAAACTGCTTGAAATGTCTAAAGTCTAGTGAGCTGACTAACTGAGCTGACTAACTGAGCTGAAAAGTCCTCTAATTAATAGTTAAAACTAGAATAAGTTATTCATAATAAATTTGAAGTAATTATATTATAATAATAATTTGTGCGAGTGAATCAGACTGAATCTAAATCAAGATGCCAGAATTGGCTGTAGTTGATCGAAAATGCTATCTAAGTTTAGCAATAGAAGCATTTATTTTTTATTTTTATATTAGTAATTATTAACCTCTTTAACATTACTTAATAATTACTAACAATTTTAACAACAACTATTTACGGACGGGCAAAAGCAAAACAGACTTAAGTGATCACTTTCCAATATTTTCAACTACTAATAACATAGTTCTCAAAAATTCTTCCTTGTGCAAACGCGACGAATAAAATCTTTGTATTATATTTTTGAACTCTTTTACCAGAAAAAAATAAATTTATTTACAAAATTATAAAGTAAATCCTGCATATAAACTACTTTTAGCCAAATTCTGTAAAAAGTATGATATTTCCTCTTAATAAATAATTATAAAATCTAAGTTTCTTTAAACCCCTTAACGACCAAAAGTTAACTTAAGTTTCATTTGCTTTGAGATCATATCCGGTAGTGGATATAGTTTAGGATATTTTCTCTTTTTTCTTTTCTGTAAACCAGAATTATATAATTTTAAATACTTCAGCTTATTAAAAATGTAAACACTGTAAATAAATCATAAGTTTTACAATTTGGAACTTTATATATATATTCAAGGCATGACATTTCACAATTAATTTCAAAACAGTACATTCCAAGAAAATAAATATAGAATTAAAATATATTAATATAGCTGATGCAAAATATAGTTTCAAAGTCACACACAATTAATATGAATATTTATACAAAATGTATTTCATTGTAATTCAATATCCCACGGTGGCAATTATATTAAAGACGTTGTTAACTTGAAAATAAAATACTTAAAATTATTACTATTTTGTTCATTTTATTACTGGAAATTACTGAGAATAAACAGAATCAGCAGACTGTTAAATTTATAAGTCATAGTATATGTTGACCAAAGAGGCCTACTTTGTTATATGATAGTGGGGGCCCAGAATGCGATTGCACCCCTGCACCCTGGGCCAGTCCACCACTGATTAATGCATATATATATGAGTTTTTAACCGTAAGGTTTTGTAAAATTCCTGAAAAAATATTTTTTACGTATAGCTATTGATAACGACAAAATTACTTTTTTTGCATTTAAAATCGTCGATGTTCATTTCAAAAGTACTCATTCCAAAATGTAGCAAGTTGGTTTTCAGAGTAGGGCTGTTTGCTACATACAAAATTAGCGCTTTTGGATGTAGTATTTGCAAAACGAGCGCTCTCGCTAAACGATGCTTTAAAGTCTATTAGGAAAATTTATTTGCTAAATGGATAGAGTTGTAAAAGTTAAACATCTTTATGAACCAAAATGTTTGTAATTGGATGTTATTTTGAGATTCACAAATTATTAACGATATAAAAATTAACTTTTTTAAACAATGATAAAAGTATATAAATTGTCGAATTAAATATTTTGCAACAGTCACTTTCGTAATAAAACTTTTGAAACACGTCATTATAAAAGCATTTAATTATGTTATATAAACCAAATATGTTTAATTAACTAAGTAACTTAGTCGTATATATTTATTGAAATTCATTAGTGTCAAATGCGTAGAGTCACCCATCTTTACCTATTTCTGACTTATTTATGAGCAAAAAATATATGCAGCAAAACCATTTTCTTTTTCAAAAAAATCTTAAAATCTTAAAATCATTATTTTTAGTAAACTGCATCAAAAGAAGTTAACACATGATTTTTAAAGATATTTAAAGAGCAGAAATTTGAGTTATATTCTATGGAATCCCCCAATAAACGTGGTAATGCGGGTCTAAGTTACATTTTTATCTTTTTTCAATGAAATAAACCAACTTATTGTAAAATATGACTGAAGTCATTATGTATAACTGTTTAAGGATAATTTAAAGCAAAAACCTAATTGAAAATTATCCAAAATATATTATGTTTTGTATTAGAGATTTATCATCCTGCATAAAGAATATATTTATATAATAAAAATTCAAAACATAATATCATTACATTTTTAATGACCATCTAAAGGAATCTCTAGCAACATAACACCAGAAAAATGAATCCAGAAACATAGTCAGACCTCTATTTTATACTAATTTACATTTTAAGGGTGTTTATTAATGTTATTTATAAATTTATTAATACGCATTAGGTTCTTAACGGCACAAATAGACCCACTAAGTGACATATAGACCCACATTGCCTTACTCAAAAATGCATCATTTTGTCCTCAAACTTATTTAACCTAAATAACCGGTAATTTTTCATCCAGATAAAACGTTTACTGTGTTAGAATCCATTTTTAATACTTTTTTTCAAGTTTAAGGTTTTCGATAAAAAATTTCGCTTTAAATGTATGCGTAATTTTAAACAAAAAATACAGAGAGGTTATCTTAGATAGGTTGTGCAATTTATTATGCTATTTGTTCCAAATTGTGTATATATACAAATGTATATATCAAGTATATATAAAAACGATGTAAAGATGTATGTGTATGTTGCATATATATGCATATATATGTTGCATATATGCATATATATGTTGCATATATGCATATATTTGTTGCATATATGCATATATATGTTGCATATATACATCAACACGTCGTTTTATATATACTTAAGATATAAATTTGTGTATATACACAATTCGAAACAAATTTTATTAAAGCATTTTGCATTTAAATTTTTTTAAATAAAAACACGTTTGTAATATTGATTTATTCATGTCAACAAATTTTATTAAAGCATTTTGCATTTAAGTTTTTTTAAATAAAAACACGTTTGTAATTTTGATTTATTCATCTGAAACATAATTGAAATAAACTCTTACCTGTTAAAAAATCAAGTAGAGAAACCAAAGCGACACACGTTAAGTATTTCATATTATGCTCTCTAATAACTTTCAATAACCTTTTAGCATTTGACTTTATATTAAGTTTTAAAATAAAATAAAATATGAAAACAAAAGTACATCAAATAAAACATGCTTAAAAAACAAGAAAAGCTATTAAGTTATATTATATTATAAAAAAACCAACTCACGAACATATTTAATGTTTCATTAATAATTAACTTATAGTTAAAGTAAAAAGAAGAAACTGCAATCTTGTTCTTTGTTTATTTCAGCACGTTTTTTATGTATACTTACGTCATGCTTTTGTGTTTTATGCGTTCTAACGTCATGCTTTTTATCATTGGTTTTTTCTTTATATTAACTTTAAGTAATTACAAATCTTTTGAGTTGAATTTTTTAGCATCAGTTTGCAGTTCTTAGCAACTACAAATATACTTAGATACATCAATTTTAATTACAAAAGCTATTTTTGTTTTGTTTCAAACCACTTTCATTTGTTTTAGGTATTATATAATTTTTTTTTAACTTTGCTATTTAAACCCGGGTTGCATTTTTTTTGTTGCCAATATTTAATCAGTAGTTATAATCAACGTTGGCATAATTAACACCCAGTTAACCCATCGATTATGACTGGGATTCATTACACGTGGATTTTATACTAAATATCTTTGACTTCTCGAAATACATATCGAGTTTTTAATGTAGGTAACATTTTTAACATGCATTCATTGAAAAAAATTTTATTTTGAATTTCTTTTTGTCGCCACAAAAAAAAAAAAAAAAATAATAATAATAGTAATAATAAGTTTGCTAACCACCCGAGTAAGTTAGTGCAAACTATAAAAATGATTATTAATATATAAAATACTTACGTATAAATTTTATAGAAACATTAAAAAAATTTTATTTTAATAATTTTCTTGTTGCCAAATAAAAATTTGAATATAATAAGCCAAAATAGTTCCCCACTCTTTTTCTTACGTAAAAAAAATTCCTTAACAATTTTTTTTTTAATTTTTGTAAAAGGTAAACTTTTTCAATATTATTACAAATTAAAAAAAAAAAATTAAGTACTACAAACCAACTAGCCCCCTGAAAATTTGCCAACTTACCCTAAAAGCCTTTATTTCTAATAAATAGCTAACTGATCGTGAAAAACGACAATTAAAAAAAAATATCCGACTGGAAATCGCATGATTGAAATCTTAAAAATAATTTTTTTTTAAGAGTTTTTTTTTTTTATAAAGTAAAAGAGAAGCAAAGTTCTCTTTTCTTAAGTAAAAATTAAAGTAAAAAGGAAGCGAAGTTACGAACTAAAAAAACAACAACTAATAAATAAAGTCAACAACTATAATTTATAAATTATTAACATTTAGTAGATCTTAAACTGATTACGTGTATTTTAAAAATTTACTTTTTTATTTTTAGTTTTATTAATATTCTAACAGTTCTCGATGCAAGACGCCTCTTAGTTTTCTGCAAGTTTCCTTACAATTGATTATTATATTAGTTTGAATTAGGTTGCTCGAGACTAGGGTTTGGCGATATTTGCAAAACAGGTTTTTAAAAAACCGGTTTTTCAAATAAATTTGACACATTTTAAAAACCGGTTTTTAATGACAAAAACTGGTTTTCAATTTTTTAACATTTTTATAGTATATTTTTGTTATGCAACAAAACTTAAGTAGTATAGTAAGCTGTTTCTTTGTTTTTTTTTAACATGCAGCTTTAACTTTTTTCCTGCGGTAGATAGAGAAACAGTTGCTTATCTAAAAATATACGGATGTAAAGAAAAAGTTTTAGGCCAACAAATTCTTCTCGAATAGCTTAGATTTAATATTCGTTAATATGTATTTATAAAATGTACATATATGTAATTTGCAAAACCCTGGAAACATTTCTGGCCCAACAAAAAAATCTAGTACATTTTTTTTAGCTTCAAAAATTGACATTATTGAATTGTCTGAAAGTTATTGTCTAAAATATTTTAAAATTCTATTGTCAACACCGATTCAGATCAAGAGAAAATCGAAGAATTTGCTCATCAGAGTAAAAGAATTTTTAAAAAATCATGGAAAATTCAATTACAAAGTTTCTTGAAGAGCCGGCAGAAAACATCATTAACCCAAAAACATTGAAAGCTTTTTTATCATTTGAGGCAACTCAGAAATGAACCAAAAACGATATTAAGATATACTTTTATTGAAGATATTAAGTTATTTTAACAAGAAGATATTAAAGATCAATTATAATGAGTATAATTAAACCATCTGTTGTTATATTAAATTAATGTGCAAGGTAAGCGCCTTCATCATGTTATTAATACCATAGAAGAGCACTACCAAGGATGTTGAAACACTAATATGATAGCTGACTATTGCTGATCTTTAGAGAGAGATGTTTAGATTATTAAACGTGCTCAAAAATAAAAACTAAAATTTTTTTTCTTGCTTGATTAGACTTTATTATGCAAGAATAAAGTACAATTAAACGGGAAAAAATTATTTGTCTTTTACTTTTTATTTACGTAAATTAAAACTTACTGATGTTTGTCTAACATAAAGCTTTCTATAAAACTTGTTTTTTTATCTTTGTTTTTGATTTTGCAAAATAGGGGGCGGGGGACAATTTTCTGATACCCGCTTTTCTGTGGCTGTAACCCTGAAATCAAATTCTAATTTCTTGTAAAAACTAGATGTCTAATAAAAAACGGTTATTACCTTTGACTTCAGCGTATTGAATTATATAAAGTATGAAATTGTAATCAGTAAAAAAAAAATAATTTGTAGTGTAGTGTAATTCGATTTTGTCAAAAAAAGGAAATTTAGAAAAAAATAGAAAAATTATTAAATTACATTTAATAACTTTTAGATTTTTTTCCTTCTCTTAAAGGAAATTAAGACCCCACTTTTTTTAATAATTTTGAAGATATGTAATTTGGTTACGAATATATTTTACTAAAATAAAAACCAAAAAAGTTTTTTTCTTTTCAATAAAATTTTAAACGAGAACAAATTTATTCAATCGTATATTGTAATGAGTGAAGGCGTTCAACAAACATTATTTATTTAAAGAAAGAGACAGGGTTGTGAAGCTTAGCTGAAGCCGGAACCGCGCAGTCGCTGTTTTTTGGTTGAACCCACTGATCTTAAAATATAATATAAGTTATATTTTGAGATCAGTGGTTGAACTAGAGCGGAGCAGCAAAAACCAAGCGGTTCTCGGCTCTCGTGTTTATTTAAAGGAATAGAGTGTATGTTTTTTTTACTATGGACAAACTTCATTCTTTCATTGTTTAACTAATTTGTTGAATGAATTATTTATTAGTTTCTTTTTTTTAAAATGTTTTTTCTAACAGTTACAGTCTTGCCAAAACGTAATAAAAATGAATATTTTAACGATTTTGTATTTAAAAAAAACTATCCTTTTATAGCCTTTCTTAATATGCTTTATTGATAAAAACAAACAAACAAATAAGTTATATATGGAAATATTCTTATAGCACTAGCTAAGATTAGACCCGTAAATATACGGGTCTAATCTTTGTAAGTCTATTCCAAACCGAACTTTTTTTACTTTTTTTTTTTGTAAGTCTATTTCAAACCGAATACTTTTTTTTTGTTGAATTTGTTTTTTTTTGCTGTTATCAGTATTGTTTCGGAGGGTTTAAGACATCCTCTTAGCGTAATAATTTTTTTTTTCTTGCTAATATATTTATTGGAAAAAAATAATAATATAGCAAAAAAGATTTCTAAAATTTAAAATAACTCCAACTCCGAGACATGATTAAAATAAATACCAATTACAACAATATAATAACGTAAACATAAAATTAATCCGAGAAATATATCTTTATATTCATCCAATTAAAATAAAAAATACAATAAATAAAAATAAATCCGCTAATTTTTCGAGTGAATATTTAGATATCGAGTACCTTTTTCGTGTAATACACATACAAAATATGTTGCATACGTAGTATATATGTATGTGATACATATATACCTTGTTAATAATAATATGATTATTTTTTAACGATTTCTTTTAAAATTTTAGTTACATTTATTTATTTTTTAATCTAATTTAAAAAAAATCTTTATAGTTGTTTATTTTGATCACTGTAGACTACAGCTTTATTTACAGAGAGTGCTTGTTGTTAAAGTTTAACAAAATTTCGTTTCAGGAAACTAATTTGTTAAATAAATAATACGATATGTAATTGAGAATTTTGAGAGTTTTGTTGTTTCAAACGGTATCTTAAAGTTTCAAACGGTATCTTAAAGTTTCAAACGGTATCTTAAAGTTGCCTGTTGCTCTTGTATTGTACTTATTTAAATTGTTTTTAAAAAAGTGTGCTGTAAAATGTTCTGGAACCAGACTAATATTTAAGCATAAAAAGTATATTTTGATAAACATTTATTTGAAATATATTTAGTGCGTTCATTTGTTCCAGTAAGGGTTGGGCATGAGTAAATTTCTTTTTGTTGTATACTTGTCTTAAAACGTGTTTTTGGCGTAAGAAAAGTGATACTAGTCTAGATTTATGGGCACTGCCCCATGCTATATTGGCATACAAGAGATAGCTATGCATGAATAAAAAGTAGACAAGTTTTAGACTTTTTTGTGACAGATACGGTCTTGTCTTGTAAAGTTAACCTATGTTCTTTGATATTTTTGTGTTTATGTAGTTTATGTGCAGTTTTCAGGATATGCGTTTATCAATTAGAACTCCTAAAAATTTTGTATTCAGAGCTCTTTTGATGGTTATATTTTTTATATTAGTTGTTGGTAGGTTCGGGGATATTTTTTTAATTTATTGATTAGAGTGAAACAGTATACACTTAGTTTTTTTCTATATTGAGTGACAGTTTATTTAATTTAAACCATATATTAATTTTTTTTACTTTAGTATTCAGAGGTCTTTATTTGTCTTTGATAAATAAAATAAGTTTGTATCGTTAGTAAACATTATATTTTTAAAGATATTAGAGGCGTTTGAAAGATCGTTTATATAAATAAGAAACAAAAGAGGAGCAAGAATGGAACCTTGGGGTACACTACATTTTGTTTTTAGCAAGTTTGAGTTGCTTTTATCTATAATAGCACACTGTTGTCTGTTATTAAGGTAGTTTTTAAACCAATTTAAAGCTTGATTTTTTATACCATATTTTTCCATATTTGTCAGAAAATCTCATGATTGACGGTGTCAAATGCCTTTGACAAATTAATAAAGATCCCTCTGAAACTAGGAAGATCTTAGATCACTAAAACATAGTCCTAAAAAAAAGTTGATTCTTATGATTATGGTTAAAAACTAAAGAATAACAATTAAACGCTAAGGAATCGTCCATAAAATATGAACTTTCGGAGGGGAAGAGGGGGTCTGCATATGGCGTATATGAGATGGGAAGGCAGTGAGTCAATTATAAAAGAAAGAAGATACTAAATTAAAAAATATATCATAAAATATTAGATAAATAGGTTAAAAGCGTATGTAATTTTAGGGAGAAGGAGGGTACTCAAAAAATTGTATTGCAAAATGTGAAGCGGAGGGAGGGGGGTGATATGTGGACAAAAAAATGCGTACGTACTTTTTGGACGACCCCTAATATAAAAGTTAATCCAAAAAAATTTTACACATTGACATCAATAAACCTTTACGAGTCGTTTTTATAAAAATCAGGCAACTTGAAATAGTTGA